TGTCAAAGCTAACAATGAGTCATTTGGCTTCAAACTTTAATAAGCAGAGAGTCTAAATTATTTATTATGGTATCCACTTTTGTTTTTCTAACACAACAAAATACTCTCCTTCATTTTAAAATCTAAATGGTAAGATGAGAAAGATAACTGAGAACAGGTTTGAATGTGGTTTTAAAAATTAGGAATGGGAACATCTAACTTTACTAATGGATTTGAGAATACTCTAGAACAGAGGTCACAAGTTTGGTCCACAAGCAAAATCCAGCCAGCTCCCAAGCATGATTTTTACATTAAGAATCATTTTTACATTTTTAATGGCTGAATTTTTTTTTTTAAAGAACAGTATTTTGTAATACATGAAAATTATGGGAAACCCAAGTTTCAGTGTCCATAAATAACATTTTATTGGAACATGGCCACACTCATGCATTTAGGTATTGTGTACAGTTGCCTTTTCATGGCAATAGCAGAGCTGAATGGTTGCAACAGAGACTTATGTGGTGCTCTCATCATTTTGCACTGTGGTTTAGCTCGCTACAAATTGCAGCGGTGCAATTATAGCCACCAGCATTTTGAGTGCCACAATATTGTTGTGCCACGATACTTTAAAGTTTTTTTTTTTTATTATTAGTGCATAGCCCTAATGTCAAAACAAGAAGAAAAAAGAATTCCAATGACATGTTTTTTAAGGCACAGAATATGGACTTTAAAAATCAAATAAGAAGCCGGTCTCAGTGGCTCAGCCTGTAATCCCGCGCCTTTGGGAGGCTGAGGTGAGTGGATTGCCTAAGCCTGCGGATTCGAGACCCGCCCGGGGAACTTGGCGAGACCTCATCTCTACAATAAATCAAAAGTTAGCTGGGCGTGGTAGCGCGCGCCTGTAGTTCCAGCTACTCGGAAGGCTGAGGCGGAAGGATCGCCGGAGCCCAGCAGGCGAGGCTGTGGTGGCCGGGAGCGGCCACTACACTCCAGTCTGAGTGACAGAGTGAGACTCCAACTCCAAAAATAATCAAATTAGATTCAAAGTATAGTGCTTAAGATGCAGTGACAGTATAGCTGTTCTAAAATGATATTACATATGTCGGAATTACCAGACTAAACACTCATCACAATATACTCAATTCTTAGACAGAAATGGTCAGAAAAAACAAAAAATTGTTTATGTCTCATCACAGAATTAATTTACAAAACTGAAAATAAAGTTGCAACCAAAGTGACTCAATTGTTAGCCAAGTAAGAAAAATCTTTTACCAATAGTGAGTTAATTACATTGTGTTTGATAGTATCAGCTGAAGAATTATGTCCAGAGTAAACCTGCTTATGACTATTAAATTAACCTCTTTGGCAAAAAATACTTGAAGATTTGAAAACACTGGGAACAACATCAATAGTTAATTTTAAAATGAGGCAAAAGACTGAGTGGTTCCCTTTGGCTCTTGTTGAGTCAACAGATCTTACTGATACTGCCTAGTTATTGTTTATTTGAGGAGTGAATGCCAAGGTTGAAGTGCTGAAGTTAATCTCTATGAGTTGTCTGTGTGGAACAACTGCAGGCAAAAGTATCTTCTAAGAAGTTAAGAAAAAATGAATTGTGTACAACCTGAAGTAGAATCTGCTAAGATGTGTTACAACTGGCGGTGGCAAAATGTGTGAAGCCAAAACATACCTAGGGGTTAAATTTACAAAGCTTATGAAAAGGTAAGGAGTTTAAAAACTATGGCCATTTACTGTATTATTCATCAGCAGGTACTCTGTGGAACATAGTTGGCTCAATCTTTTGTTACTGAACTAGTGTGAGTGATTAACTTCATTTGATCTCATAGATTTAACCATCAACAGATCCGTTATCTTTTGTCAGATATAGAAGCTAAATATTCTGATTTGCCCTACACAGCAGTTAATTGGCACAGCAATGTTAGTTCTATTGCAGATTGTTAGTTCAGGGCTGATATTGAAACACTGAAGAGCTTTGGAATTTAGCTTTTGCTGCACACTAGGTAATGTTTTGTAATAAATTCAACCAAAAATTTTAAGGCAAAACAAGTGAAGCATACTTAAATATGTGTATGTGAAACATACTTAAGTCATTTGGATGACAATTAACCATCTATGAATCACAAGTGAACACAAGCTGCTTTATACATTTCCTATGCTATCAAAAGGTAAGACAGATAAGCAGGCTCTCCATTCTCACTCAAATTTGTAGCTCATACCACAATTCCCACAGTATTTTTTGGACTTCAATGCAAGTACAAAGGAATTTCCATTTTTCTTTTCCTTCCTTCCTTCGTCCCTCCCTCCCTCCCTCCCTCCCTCCCTCCTTCCTTCCTTCCTTAGTTCCTCCCTCCCTCCGAGTCAGAGTTTCACTGTTTTGCCCAGGCTAGAGTGCAGTGGCACTCTGTCACTGCAGCCTCGACCTACTGGACTCAGGGGATCCTTCCTCCTCAGCCTTCCAAGCAGCTGGAACTACAGGCATGCGCTGCCATACCCAGCTAATTTTTTGATTTTTATTGTAGAGACGAGGTCTTTGAAAATGCATTCAACTGTGCAATTGAGGAGCTTCTATCCAACCTTCAGTTGAAAGTGTTTAATCTACAATATAATTACATGTTAAGAAAAAAAGATTAATCAAGATATAACCTGACAGAATTTTATCAATGCCTTCCAAGTGATGAATATCCTCAGTGATTAGTATCACTGAGCATTGATTAGTATAAGTATTTGGCAATATTGATCTGTAAGAAAAGTTACTTTCAAAGATGAAATATGCAAAATATCATAGATTAGTATAATCTGATGAATACTCAACTCTGATCATAAAAAAGTGAAATATTATCTTCTGTATTTAATTCTTCTCATTAGTAAAATCATATTACAAAAAAAGCATTGTTCTCAATTATTACAAAAAAATTGTTCTCAATTATCTTTTGAAATCTGTTAAAATTTATGACCAAATTTGATTTATCCTAGTTACTTAAGTACCTACATAATCATCTCAGTTTTGTCTCTTAACCTGCAAAGCCTAAAATATTTACTATCTGGCTCTTTACAGGAAAAGATTCCTGACTTTTGCTCTAGAACCAGAAGCCACCCTGAACACTTAAAAGCATAGGGTGAATGCAGATGACCTGCCACTAGCAGCTACATGATCATGAGTAAATTCCTCAATCTTTCTTTGCCTCCGTTTCCCTATTTGGAAATGGGAGTGAGTAGTGGCATCTAGCTTACAGGGTTATTGTGAGGATTAAGCGAGTTAGTAAATGCAAAGCACAAGAAACAGTGCCTAGCACAAAGTAAGCATTATCCTAAGGTTAGCTTAAGATAAAAGTATGACTGCACCGTTGGTAGTCAAATTATGAATCTCCTCCTCTTGAAAGGTCCACTGCATAGAATATTTGCAATGTAAATATACATTCTTGGATGAAAAAATCTGAGAATGAAGATAATGGAGACCAACCAAACCCTTTTCCAACTGCACTTTCTTTCTTCCACCAAACAGAAGACTGAGTGGGAGATACTATGGATTTGACCAGGACAGGAATTCTTATACACATTTTTTTTAATGTAGAGGAGATTGTAGCAATCTTTTAATATTTTAAATTCCATATTACCTTTTTTATATCCCATAAAAGAACGCTGTACTACTAGTAAACTTTGTGACATTTATGCTTTTAAAATTTGACATATGACAATTCAGTAATTTACCATTTCTTATTCATTCAACAAATATTTGCCAAATGTCTACTACTACTTGTCACATGTATAAATTTACTAGTTTAAGAGTGCTGGGGAAAAAGTGTTTTCATATATGTACTACTGAGAGTACACTCAATCATTGTCTAGGGATAGATATCAACTGTGCTTTTCTTTTTTTAACTAAATGTGCTTTTTCTTAAATGAATACATCTTATAACAATAAATTTAGAGTAGTGCTATCCGATAAAATTTTCTGCAGTGATGGAAATGTTCTGCATCTGTGTTGTCCAACAAAATCATGTGATTACTGAACACTTGAAATGTGGCAAGCGTAACCAAAAGAGTGAATTTTTACTTAAATTTAACTAAAATTAAATAAAATAGTCACATATAGCTAGTGGCTATTGTACTGACAGTAAAGTGCTATAGGATCACTAGAGATTTAATATTGTTTGACTATAATAATTTGCCTTGAGTAGAAAAATGAATTTTGTTACACTACACAGCTAATATTAGCTTTCTATTCAAAACAGCTTTTCTCATACCACAAAATATTTTGTCTACTTTTGTAGTAGAATAACTAAATCAATTATTTAACAAAACAATGATTCCTCATTTTTTTGTACCTCCCTTTCTCCACTCCACCCCGCACTGTCCCCACACTATAGTTGATTTCTAATGTTTAAGATGCTGGAGCATATAAATTTTTATATACATATATGTGTGTATGTGCATGTGTGTGTATGTATAATCCACATGTAATTCAGAAGTCTTACATTTTTCCCTCTAGTAAATATTTAAGGCATCTGATTAACAGCTGGAAAGTTACTTTGTTTAATAGTTTTCCTCTTGTTCTTGATTATGTCCATATTTTTATATTGGTAGCATCTAGTAGTGAAATAGGTAAATCAGAAGAAATATGGAAAAAATACATTTTTTTTCTAATTTCGGGTTAAGTTTACTTTTTTTTTTTTTAAAGATATGGGGTCTTGCTATGTTGTCTAGGCTGGAGTGTAGGAGCTATTCACAGGTGCAAACACAGCACACTACAGCTTTAAACTCCTATCTCAAAAGAGTGATGATCCTGCCTCAGCTTCCCAAGTGCACATCATCCTGCCTGGCTAGAAAAACTACAAATTTTCCAGTTGAACAATTAATGTATCAGTTTAAAAAATAACCTTAACATATAGAAAAACAAGTGTCTCCAACCAGCTCTGATAGTTTTGTACATACCAAACAAAGTAGTGGCCAGGTAATAGGATTAATAAAGCATCCTTACATGGAGTTGTGAAAAATTAACTTTATTTTTGCATAAATATGATACTTTATTGCTCAGTGTTCCTTTAAAAATAAGTTAACATGTTTCCACATTATCATTTTATTAGTCATATAATTATTAATTAAAGCATAATATCACTGATTAATGTAAGGTAAAAGTAATATCAGCCACTCACATATTCTTGAAGAAAAGTGCTTACAATATCTTGTGAAAACATCTGTGTACATTTTACCTTAATTTAATGGACAATTTCATATTTTCCTTCAAAATCTATAGATGTCTTAATTCTCATCATTATAAAAACTAAGCTAAACAAAAACCAAGACCAACCCCAAAACAAACCTTACAAAAGCACATTAATTTTATTACAGAATTAAGTCACTGAGTAAAGCTCTTTTTTATGAACACTTTCGGAAAGTTTGCGTTTAGTTCTAGTACAGCTCTGATATCAATCTGCGAACAGAAGGACACATCAAGTAAGGAAAGATCTTTACAAGATTCCAGGAGTTTTCTTAAGGATGCTGGACTTACCATTCTTGTTCCTATTTAAAACATAAATAAATAAATAAAACAAAACAAGCACACATCTTAAGTATAACATTCATATACTATCCTATTAATGAGTCACTTTATCAGTTATTAAATATACTTAAAATAAATTACCTTTTAAAAATTAGAAGTATTTTTTAAACAAAATAATTCATATTGAAATGGTCCTGTTAAAAAAAATTAAAAACTGAATTTTGTCTGCCAATTTGGTATCTAGGACCTGAATCTTGTCAATACGCTACCCACTATCTTCATTCCTGTCTCCTATCCCTCAAATCAGCTCCTCCAGGTTTTCCTATTTCCGTCACCCCAGTTCAAAATGGTTTTCACAATGCATTTGATATGAAATGTGCAAGTCTGATGTGAATTCACAAAGTACCAAATGTGTGGGCAATGATAACCACTGTGGCACTGCTAGCACCCCTAGCTAAAGAAAGAAGAAAAATCGCATGGGGCTCCTTGCAGATAAATGCAGTAAGGGCACAAGAAATCCCAGAGTTGGAAAGGATTTCCAGCAGATCTGCCTGGGGTAGAACTACTCCTAAAAACTAGAATGATTAGGAATGAATATTTCACAGTATTTCTAGTCAAGAATTTAAATTAGAAAGCTTTAAAAAAATCTAACTTAAACTCACTAAACAAATGGAGTCATTTCTTCTTCTCTATGCTTAATAAACATGGAAAACACAGCTCATGTCCATTCTCACTCTTCTAACTAGACCAAGAATTAATGGTTATTTAAGCTTTTGATAGGTTCAACTATAAAATTCTGCTATTGTCCTCACTATTTTACTAAAGTACATATATAATTGTTCCTTATATCAGTTGATCTATCTTATACTTTCTATCAAACCAAGTAGTCTTGTCAGGACAAAATTTTTATTATATCCAATGATTTCTATTTTTCCTTACAAAAAGTCTGAGATTAGGTTTTTGTGTCAAGGAACAGGTTTTTAAAACAAATTTATATATTGTGTACTTACCTAGTATGTCCAGTTGCTGTAATCTGGTACAATTACATGCCAACTCTTCAATGTCTGTGTCACATACAGACCTGTTAGCTGTAAGAAAGAGTTTTTGCAAGTGTGGGAGCTGGCGTGCCAGTCTAGCAAAGCACCCGGTACTGCTCTGCAGAGTTGGGCACCAGCCGAGGTCAAGTTCCTCCAGAAGTGGACATCCGGAAGCCAGTTCTGCTATTCCATTCTCAGTAATATTCTTACATCTCCACAGATCCAGGGTCCGGAGTTTTTTACACTTGGCTCCCATCATGCTAGCGATCACATCATAGTCCTCAATCTGGAAATTAAGCAATTTCAACCTCTTACATGTTATGCTCAGAAATGCAAGCTGTTTAGAGAAAGTGAGAAGACTCTTAATCATCTCCTACTGTTTGCTTCCATGTAAACATACCCACATTCTTGCTAATACAGATCTGCCCACTCATCTCACAAATCTGCCAGCGTTTCATAAAACAATAAGAGTAATCACTTACTTAAAAATTCATTTAACAGAACTCTGGACAGAAGACATTAATAAATTAAACCTCAATGCAATCTGAAGTCCTCAATTTCTCTTGAAGAATCTGAGGATTATGTGTTGTTCTTTTAGGCTACTATTTCAACCCCGCTGCCGCTGCTCGTGAACAGGACCTAGTTTCTTCTACCTAATATATGATTGATATACTTTGGTAGGTGCCTAAGCTCTCCCTGATGTAAGTATACACATTGTAGGCTCTAAAACACTATGTGGAAATGCTGATATTACTAATAAGGATTCTAGTCTGTGGTTAAATGAGGGAAAGAATATATAACAAGAAAATAATTTAGATTTAGTATGTTAATCGTTGTCAGTTACTGGAGATATTCAATACCTATCTCATGATTACAGCATACATTTCTACTAATCAAGGATTAAACATTTCATTTTGGGGCTTTACCTGCTTTAAGAATGTTTCTTCAAATTGGGTCTTTTAAGAGTTTCCATTAGATTTTTTATAATTGTCAAAATTATCACCAGAAATCAAAAGGAAACAAAACAGTAAACATTTACAATAATTGCTTCCTTTTGTTCGTTTGTTTGTATTTTCAACAAATATTTACATACCTGCTATATCCTAGCACCACTCCAGAAGCTAGGAATAGCAGTAAACCATAAAACAGAAACATCCACATTTTGGGGAAAGACATACAGACTAATAAATAAGGAAAATAAATAGAGAGAGTGATAAGTGTTGTGAAAGTCTAAAACAGAGCAATGTGAGAATGATCAGAGTTTCAGGAGGTGAAGGAAGGGGTGGTGGTTTCTGGGATCTCAAGGAATGAGCCTGGCACATTACAGGAACAGAAATGAGATCCCTGTGGCCCAAGGGTGGTGAGCCAGAGGATGGGCTTTGAAGGGAGAGAGTGACTCAGGGGCCAGGTTGTCTAGGCCAGAAAAAGTTGGATTTTATGTTAAGCTCTAAGGAGGCCAAAAGAGAGTTTTAAGCAAAGAAACGTCATAATACTATTTACATTACAACAAAAACGCCTCTGGCTTCTGTCTGGAAGGGTCTGTGGCAGGGCAAGTAGAATGGTGGAGGAAGTCCACTGAAGAGGCTGGCAATAGTCTAGAGAACAGATGGCAGGGCCTGGATTAAGGTGGTAACAGCTGGGGAAATCTGACAGAACTAGGGTTATATTTTTTAGTTAGAACCAAAGGTTGAGAGATTAGACATAGTGGTGATAATGTCTAAAGTTCTGGAATTATGTGTAAGCCCATGCAAGACAGACTTGGGGAATCATAACTATCTCAAGTGAGAAGTACTTGAAGAACACAAACTGTGGATGTGATGAATTAGAGCAGCCAATTAGCTTCTTTAGAAAGAAAGAATTTAAGAACTCTGAAACCTATGATTCTGATTGTACTGGATTTATTAGACCAGGGCAATCTGAAAGGCAGATGGACTAATTCTCTACCAGCATAGAATAAGGTAAAATTCCTTCAAGAGTTTTTTGATGTAAAATTTTCACAATATTATTAAACATATCAGGCACAAAGAAATTTAGGGCTGGGAAAGCAAGACTCCAACCATATGCATTTTACTGAATTGAGGGCAACCTATACCTTCCTTACCAATTACAATCCCTTTGAATTACAGAAATTACTCAGAACTCTTTTTTCCCTAAAACTTTACAAATTTATTTTCTCATTCATTATCCAATTTTTAAAAATATAACAAAAGTCACAGAGAAACTATCAGCCTGAAGTTAGGTGACTTGACCAGGGACGCATAATTAGTAGGAGTCCTAAGAAAAACTAGATCTTATGATTCTTTAATTCAGCCAACCTTAAGTTACTTCAAGCAGCACTATATAATACAAATCATAAATGGAATTTTAACTTTTCTTATTTTTAAAAAATAGTAAGACATAGATAAAATAGACTATCATATCAGCCTGGAGTACTCACCTCCAACACTTTATTTACATGAGAGAGAAATAAACCATCTTATTTAAGCATAATCATCTGGAGTGTTCCCATCACTTGCTGTTAACTAAATTCCAACAAATACACTGATCTACAAACTTGCTAAAAGTTTCTGTAGGAGAGAGGGCTGAAACTAATGGTTAAAGCAAGCTTCTGATTACTTTGGGGTTTAGTTACCACTTTATCGCTTTCCATCACCATGGATAATAAAACTTCAGGTCAAAGAGATAATCGGTTATTTAAAAATATTTTTTAAATACTCTGTCTCAATCAAGAGGAAAAAAAAAACTTCCAAAGAGTCCTACAAAAATATGTATGGCACTAACTAGAATATGCAGGCTTGTTTTGTGGTTAAGACACTGTGCCTCAGAAGTTACTGTCATTGCAAATCTGTCAAACCGGCATGTGTGGCACAAAGATTGGTTTCAGGAAAAAAAGTGACACAACTAATTTAGTAAATACACTGTATTCATAAAGAAAATGTACTCCATGAGGATAACATTCAGCTAAAACATACAATAGATCACAATCACTGTGCAAAAGCAAGAGATCCATTTATGTGGGCAACAGCTTCATAAATATCACAAATCTAAAAATTGCTATTATATTGGCAGTCAAAAATAAAATGTAATGTAAAGAATGGGTTCAGTAGTCAGGTAACGTTGGAGTTTAATAAGATCAAACTCAAGGATTAAAGACTATGGGGACATGGAGGTAAACATGTCGTTATAAGAGGATCATCTAGTCTACATTGCCAAATCTTGAGGCATTTCTGAAGTCACTCCTGAGGTCTGCAAGATACTCAGATGGGACCTATTTTAGGTGAGGGATCCTGCGTGTTGATTTCAAGTGTAAGATACCAGAAGAACTTCTCCGGAATCTTCAACCATCCTGCTAATTTAGGACTTCCTACCAAGTGGATGCAAAACTGGAATGACATTGGAGTCTTTTAATCAGTCTAGGTTTGGGAAAAGAGGGCACACATGAAGGGGAATGGATAGTTCCACAATCAGCTATAATGCAAGACTCACTTTTGGTGAATATGTGAGTGAGCACGGGCATGTGTGCTCACGTGCATGCACACACACATACGCACAACCCCTCCCCAGCAAGAATTTTATTGTCCTTTGCATCTCAGTATTATTTATAAGCTATGTAATTATGTCATTTAGATACAAAAGATTTAACTCTCCCCATAAAAAGCCACATAAAATCATAATATTAAATCTGGACGAGCTTTAGAGTTTATCAGTCCAACAATCCTTAGGCTTTTGGATTTCACAGACCAGTAAAATTTCCCAAAATTGATTTCCAACATAGGATCTTGATCTTTCCATTTTGCCCAGTAAGTACAGTAAAACACACACAAAACCAAACAAGATAAACCTATCTATTACCATTAACATTTCCAGAAAATAATTTCAGAGTTTAAAAACTAAAAATAGCTTTGTAAAAAACCTACTAAACTATTGGCATTTGAGTATGACTCACAATTTATTTTGTAAAGAAACGCAAAGAGCTTATCTGAGATAATATCTGGCTTGGGAGAAGAACAATACCATATTCTACTACACTCTCATAGATATATAATGTCAGTGTCAAAAACATACTCTCCAATTTAAGAAAAATGTCTGAAAGTGAGGAACAAAGAAGTTAACCATCAACCTAAAAAAACTGTGGGTGGGTGTGGGATAGACTGGGTCGGAAGAAAAAGAGAACAAGCACCTGAGCAGTATAAAGAATTTTCAAATACTTACCATTACACAACTGCCCAAACTGAGGTGCTGAAGCTCTGAACAGAAGTTCAAAATGCTGAGCAGGGCTGTTTGCTGCCATCAGGGACCACATCAGAAGCAAATATGGAAAGTGAATGAAAGTGAAACAAAGAGAAGAGGTCAATTAGACATTAAAGGCTGTCACTGCTTTTCCTGAAATATAGCTCAAAACCTAGGTTACAGATTCCACAAATGCTATTTAATGAGTCCCCAGAGGCTCTGCCATTGATTGGCTTGGAGTCAAGGTAATCATTACTAGTCTCCATGTAAGTCATCATTTTGTATACGGTTTTGCATGCCCTAAAGACACCCATCTTCCCCATGACCTCTAAGTTCATTTCCCAAAGGTATGCAATTTGAAAGTCTAGTCAAGACTGAACAACAAAACAGCTAAACCACCCCTCCCTACAAAAACAAAAACAAAAACCCCACTGGGGGCTGGTGACACTCCTGAAGAAAAGTAGCAGCTCTGACATTCACTGATCAGCTGCAGCCTGATGGAACTGCCAATAGAGTCAACCCAAATCAAGACTGAGCTGGTGACTTTAATGTCAAAGGATTCTCTCTGCTGACAAGGATACCAACAACCATTGAGCACCTGTCAGTAGCAACACGCCAACCGAAACTACATAACATGCACTTTCTAGTCATGTTCCTGCCATTTAAGCCCATCTATCCTGTGCAATGGAAACGGTCTCACCACTAAAGAAACTCAAATACTGTCATACAACCATGGCAGCTAACAGATCTTTAACAAGTCCTAATTTCATTCATGACATTCCTGCCATGAGAAATTGCACAAAAAAAAGACAATGCAAAATTTCTAATTTTCCTTTTATAAACTAAAAAAAAAGCTATTTAAATTTACATGGCAAAATTTCTAAACATTTTAACTAAATCATATCTATAAAAATCAAGATATTATACAACCTGTGTTAAATTTGTTCCAAGTGTTCAGAAATTTAAAAATATATGTCAATGACAATGCGAAACATTTGATCAGGTCCCAGATAAGATTCTCATTGAGAAAATAAAGCAGTAAAGCATTTCACATAAAATAGGGTTACTTAAAGCAAAAATAAAATAACAGTTGTAGTAGGCCTCAGAGTGATATTAAATTTAAGTCTAATTATTTCACGGTTGAACATTTCCTTAAATTTAAGCAAAAAAAGTTTTTATTGATTTTACATTTAAGTTTCAACATAACTTACAACATTTATAAGACAATCCCATGTTCTCAGAATGTTAATATTAGAAAGAGTATACAAAGATAAATTGATTTTAAGGTTTTCCACAACACTTAGCCATTTTAACTTACTAACAGGGACATGACAATAGGTTTGCTTTTATTAAAGGACCATATCTTTATTAAGATTTTACCATGAACAAGCTCCAGAACAGAAAGAATTTTTAGAACAGATTTCATATATCCCTGACAGAAAGAAATTTTAAATTAAAAAAAAATATGGCAAGGCGCAGTGGCTCAAGTCTGTAATCCCAGCACTTTGGGAGTTCAAGGTGAAAGGATTGCCTGAGCCCATGGGTTCACACAGCTTGGGCAACTTGGCAAGACTCATCTCTACAATAAATCAAAAAAATTAGCTGGGCGTTGTAGCGCACGTCTGTAGTTCCGGCTACTTGGAAGGCTGAGGTGGAAGGATCACTGAAGCCCAGCAGGTTGACGCTGGGATGGCCGTGAATGTGTCACTGAACTCCAGCCTGGGTGACGGAGTGAGACTCCTACTCAAAAAAAATTTTTTAAATGTACACATATACCTACATACATACATATAATTCATATAACTTGTTTGGTATCTATTTTTAAATTATTTACTATGGAGAATATCAAATATACAAACACGCATAGGGTCCAATATAACACCACTGAGATTTATCAACTCAATCATTTTGCCTTCTTTGCTCATTTCTCTAAATTTTTATATCCTTCCATCCATCCACATACTTCCTTAGAAGTAACCTTTATCATGACTTAGTGTTTAAAAATGAGCTTGAAAATTATATAATTTTACTATACATTATAGATGCATAAGTAGCATATAGTATCGTTCCACATGGTTTTTACATACATGGTATTACAATGTACAAACACTTCCACATCTTCCTTATCAGTGTTCATAAGGGTTTTGTCCATCTTGCTACAAACAGCTCTAGTCACTGATTTTTAACAATTGTATATTATTTCTGTTATGGGTGCACAATTTTGACTATCACAAAAGTGTTAGTATAAACATTCTTACATGTGCATTCTTGTGCATTTTATAAGAGAGTGTTTCTCTAGAGCACATACTAGAGGAAGAATTTCCACGTGTCTGGGTATGCTTTATTAGATTTTGCAAAATCGTTCTTCTGAGTGTCTGAAACAACTTATTCTCCCACCAGTGGTTTAAGAGTGTTAGGTCCCCACACCTGTGCCAACATACAGACTTTCATCCTTTTTAATGTCTGCCTCTCTGATAAGTACAGAATAATTTAATTTACATGATTACCAGTGAGGTTGAGAAATTTTTTATAAATTCATTGGCCACTCATATCTTCTCAGTAAGTGGCTTAATCATATTCTTTGCTGATTTTTTCAGAGTATTTGTTTCTTCCTTCTTGACTTGTAGGAATTCTTTATTTATGCTAGATATCAATCTTCGTCAGTTACGTCCATTACAAATATCTCCTCTAAATCTGAGACCTGTCTTTTCATTTTGTTCATTGGATCTCCTGAGACATGAACATTTTACATTTTAATTTAGTCACATTAATCTTTTTTCTTTATGTTTGTATTCTGTTGTCTTTTCCAGAAGGTCCTCCTGAACCAAAGGAAGAATATTCTTCTTTTTGAAATCACAGCTTTAAAGTCTTTCTTTTTTTTTGCACTTAGGTTTTTAACCTAACTAGAATTGATTTTTTTTTATCTGGCAAGATGCCAAATTTCATTTTCTCCCTACTGCTCCAGTTTAGTTTATTCAAGACTTTAACTTATTTACTGATTTGTGATGCTTTCTGTCACATACCAGGTTTCGACATATGTGTGACTCTATTTCTGGATCATTTTATTTCACTAGCCTATTTGCCGTTCCTTCACCAACATTTCAGCCTTAATTATTATAGCTCATAATAAGTCTTAGAATCTAGTAGGGCAAACGGCTTGTCTTCATTCTTCAAACATCTCTTATCTGTTCTTGGCCCTCTGCTATTGCACATGAATTTTAGAATCATCTTAAAGGTTTTAGTCTTACCTTTTTAAAAATACAAAAAGATAAGTTTTTAACTCTTTTTCTCCTGTGGTCTTTGGTTGATTTATTAGCATTTTATCAATCTCAAATTTATATATATATATTTTTTAGTCAGAGTCATATCTATATATTTTTTTAGTCAGAGTCTCACTCTGTTGCCCAGACTGGAGTACAGTGGCTCGATCATGGCCACCAAAGCTTTGACCTGCTGGGCTCAGGTGATTCTTCTGGCTCAGCCTTCTGAGTAGCTGGAACTACAGGAACACGCCACCATGCCTGGCTACTTTTTCTGATTTATTGTAGAGACTAGGTCTCTCCAAGTTGCCCAGGATGGTCTCGAACTTCTGGGCTCAGGCAATCTTCTTGCCTTGGCCTCCCAAAGTGCTGGGATTATAGGCATGAGCCACTGCATCCAGCCCATAATCTTTGAATATATCTGATACCTCCTTACAGAATTTTTCTTTCTTGTTCAGAAATATTTTTAACAGTTCTTTTAGTGAGTATCTGTGAGTGATAAAAATCTTAGCAATATATATTTATTGAGTACTTATTAACATGTCAGGCACTGCTGTAAATTCTTTATATATATAAATCCTTGCAATAACCCTATTCATTCACTCATTTAACGAATATTGAATGCATATTGTGTGCCAGGCACTGTTTAGGCACTTGGGATATAACAGTGAACAGAACAGATAATAACCTATTAGGTTAACATCATTATTTCTATTTTGGATGATGAATCAAGAGTCAGAGAAAGTTAAATAATTTATTTAGTCTTAATATTTACCCTCAATTTTTTAAAATTTATTTATTTATTATAGAGATGTGGGGTACAATTCAGGGTTAGGTATATAAACATTAATCATGCAGGCACTCTTGTTGATGAGGTATGCCCCTCCCTCCCCTAGCAGTTTCCCTCAACTGCCAATCCCACGTACCCTCCCTTGACTGTTTCCCACTACTGCCAATCACTTTCTTATAGCATTATAATTGTTCAAGGTCCATTTATGAGTGAGAACATATGGAACTCGGTTCTTTGTTTCTGTGATAAATCACTGAGCATGATCGACTGCAAATCCATCCAAGTTGCCGCAAAGTCCATATATTTGTCCTTCTTTATGGCTGCATAATATTCCATTGTGTATATATACCACATTTTTTTTTTATCCAATCCAGCTTCGATGAGCAACACGGTGGGTTCCATGTTTTTGCTACTGTGAACAGAGCTGCAACAAACATACGTGTGCAGGTATCTTTGTCACAGAATGATTTGAGTTCCTCCGGGTATATTCCCAACAGGGGAATTGGTGGGTCATATGGAAGGTCAATTTCTAGTTCAGAAATCACTACACTGTCTTCCAAAGAGGTTGCACTAGTTTGCATTCCCACCAGCAGTGTAGAAGCATTCCTTTTTCTCCACATCCTCGCCAGCATCTGTCATTGTTTGTTTTATTAATAATGACCATTCTTACAGGGGTTAGGTGGTATCTTAATGTGGTTTTGATTTGCATTTCTCTGATGATGAGTGAGGCTGAGCACTTTTCCATGTGTCTGTTGACTGCCCGTATATCTTCTTTTGAGAAGTGTCTATTCATGTTTTTTGCCCACTTTTTAAAGGGGCTGTTTGTTTCAATCTTTTTTTAAAATAAAATTTATTGTACATATTTGAGACTTACCTTAATCTTGAATGAAAATTTAGCAAGGTTTAAAATGTTAAAATAACTGTTTGACAGTGATCACCTTCTTTCAACACTTTGAAAATACTACTCCATTGCCTATTAGCCTCCATTGTTTGACAAGAAGTCT